CCTTGTGCTGTCCAAGAGCGTAATCAAGATTTATTCAGTTCCTTTGTCAGCCACGGCTAGGAAGAGTTCCGGATGTATGCCTTAAATGCTTGTGCTACAGAAATATGATCCCTTACCGCGATCCAGGGTAAAAGAGAGAGCTGGCACTGGCTTAGGAAACAGGAGCGCTTGGCGCACTCGGAGCCAGCAACGAAATAATAATAATGAAAAAAAAATTGCACGCGCAAGAGGTTGGAGGCAAAGGAGCCAGGGAGCTCAAAATTTAAGGTTCATTTTCGTGCTAACACTTTAACATTTAAAGGTTTGCTTGCGTTCGTTTTACGGATGGCAGATGAATCTCGTAATCAATCAGTAACGATCAATAGAACTCAGCCCTTGGTGGCGACAGGGACACGTGGACGAAAGCTTTTGCAAGCAGTCCTCAACTTACAGTTGTTTGTTGCAGCGGCCTTGAAAAAAAGTGACTTAGGACTTCTTTTTCACCACTTCCCAACCTTTGCAGCTCACGTGATCAAAATTCGGACACTTGGCAACTGGCTCATATTTATGACAGCGTCCCGGGCGTCACGTGATCTCCTTGTCAACGCTGCTAACATCAGATGTTTTTGCATTGACAACAGATGGAAATGTAGCCATCTTTTACCTTTTGCTTTTAAAGTTAGATGAGGCTGGGAGCGGGGATGTGAACGAGAGTCCAGCTAGACATAACAACTCTAGACCTAGGTGAGAATCAAGGTTATTGTAACCAGAGTTGATAAAGAATTGGCAGCGCTTCAAGCTAATTGGGGAATGTGATTTATGACTGTTAATTGGAGGAGGGAATTGTGCTTTGATACTAGGTGCCCAGGGGAGGGGAATTCAGTTTCTGGCTTCAATTATGCAGTGCCGATATTATGCTACTCAAAATAAAGATTCTTTAAAGTAAACAATGCCTCGAAGTTCTTTTGAAGAGTTTCATCTGTCGGGAACCGTGACACTCCTTTTGTGACTTTCTGACGAGCAGAATCAAGGTTCACTTAACAACCTTGTTACTAATTCAACAACTGCAGGGAGTCACTTTAAGAACTGTGGCAAGGAGGGTGGTGTGAAGTGGGGCAAAACTCACCCAGTAACCGTCTGGTTGAGCTGTAGAAATGTTGTACTCAAGTCTTAATTTTTAGGAAGGATCGTGTCGTTCCACCCCTACAACTGTTGGTAGGAAATGAGAAGGGGACGTATAAGGAAGACACGGACTTCTGAAAATGTTTCAGTTGAATATCATAAAGGAAACCCCTGCTGGAATAAATAATATTTCAGCAAAGCAAGATAACGTTTTACTTAAGCCTGGCCTTCTTTTGCTTCTTAAGATAACCACGTTTAAATGTCGGCAGTCCAATTTTCTACTGGAAAATAAAAACAAAAAAGGCTGAATTGATAAGGCGTGATTCAACCTCAGCTTTTCAGCTCTGTCTTTTGTTGGAATTATTGGAGATGGCTTTGCTGTGGATGTTTTAATATTTAATGCCGCAATTACTGTAGCTGTTGCGATTTAATATTTATTGCGGACCGGGGTCCGTTTCCCACGCTTTGCTGCCACCGATTTCTTAATTATTATTATTATTATTGTTATTATCCTCGTCGGGAGCGTCTCGGTTCAGCGCTAGAACAATTAATGAATTAAACCAGGCCATTTTGTAATATCATTTAAAATGTTTTTGGGGCACAGCCTACGTGGCGTGAAAAGTCTGGCTGAACTTTTGTTAAGGCAGCCGTAGAATTTAAGGTCTACGTAAACCCAGCCAAAACAAAAAAAAAAATAAAGGGGGGAAAAAAAAAGAGAGAGAGAGCAGGCTTGCTTTCCTATAATTTATTTATTTTTAAGTCAAATGTCACCGCGATCAGGACTCAAGAAAGCATGAACTTGTTCCCGCAGGCATTACTGGAAACCCATCTGAGCGTGCAAAACATTTTCGGCACATTGACGGAAAACTGACACTAAGTCCTTCAGAGGAAAGAATCGAAAAGAAACGCATCCTATCCCGGGCTCTGGGTGGTAATGAGATTTTTAAGAGAACCAACTATTCATGGTTTATCAAACAGGCTTTTTTCCCCTTGAAGTGGGCTGGGGTTACAGTTGCCGGTGTATTTTTGGCAGGGGTCTCTCACGTCACCTCTGAAAACACGGGGGGGAGGGGGAAAAATAAAATTAATAAGCGTTTTAACTACAGGCAGTCCTCGACGTGACGACCACAGCCGAGCCCAACATTTCCGTCGCTAAGCGAGACACTTGCGAAGTGAGTTTCCCCCCCATTTTACAACCTTCCCTGCCTCAGTTGTTAAGTGACTTTGCTTGTCGGAATGTCGCAAATGGGGATCACGTAACCCCGGGACATTGCAACCGACATAAGTACAAGTCAGTTGCCAAGCGGTCCAATTTTGATCACGTGACCCTGAGGATGCCGCAACGGACGTAAGTGTGAAAAACAGCCACGAATCACCTTTTTCCAATGCCGTCGTAACTTTGAAGAGTCACTAAACGACCTATTGTAAGTCAAGGATACTGCACTTATTCTACTGCGCTATAAAGAGTCGGAAGTCAATGTTTTTCTTCCTCCACCCTCCCCTCTTTTCCAGACGCTTCCTTCTCTTCCTTTTTTCTTCCCTCCCTTTTCTCACTCTTTCTTTCGTATTTTATAGTTTGGTAAACTTAAAAAAAGGCCAAAAAAAAAAAATCTCCAACAAAATATGCACCAGCCTCTTAGTGAAAAGACTTCAGATCCGACACGTTTTTTTTGTTTTTCGTTTTATAAGTTCAGAGAAATGAGTTTTATTTTTCTGCCTTTCACACAAACACCGTGAAGGACTTTGCGATCCCCAGGGCTACTTTTGTGATGCTGTTGTGGAGTCAGATTTGACTCTGTTTTCCTCTGTTTGGGAATAAATTAAGAAGGTTCTTAAACTGGGGTCTGGGATGTTCAAATCCTACAGAGAAAATCTACCTAACTAATGATTTCCCTCTGAGCCAATTATGGTAGGTTAGCTTTGCAGGTCACAGCATCTCGGTTTAATGTCCCGCGTAATGTTTTCTCTCTAAACTTAAATGGCCTCCAAATCCTTGTTTGATGTCTGTTCTTTTCCTCTTCAACCTGCCTTACCAGGGCAATAACATCAGTGTCCTTTTTTTCAAGAATGGGAACGCATTTGGGATACAGGTCTTTGGGGCATATTTAATTGTGACTTTGTATGGCGCGTTAGGCCAACATCTCCCAGCTCCGGCCACAGTCCTTATCCTTGTTACATGTTGGCTGAAGGTGATTTGATGCCCTTTGATGCATCTTGAGGGTTTGCCAAACGGGACCAGCTCAATGAATTTTTATGTGGCTCTTTATCTTAATGCTTTTCAGGCATATTACTAGTCTAATAGTTTAGTTTAGAGAAAAGAAGGACCAGGGGTGACATGATAGCAGTGTTCCAAGATTTGAGGGGCTGTCCACAGAGAAGAGGGGGTCAGCCTATATTCCAAAGCACCAGAAGGCAAGATGCTTGAGCAGGGGGTTGGGCTAGATGACCTCTGAGGGACCTTTCCAACCGCTTGGACCTTTTTTATGCTAGGAAGTAGCATTGAAATGCTGTTTAAAAACAACGACCTGAATGAACTAATCGAGCATACTCGACCACAAATATAGGGGGTTTTCCTTTTAAGATGCTAACATTCTCCATTTTTTGGGGGGTGGGAATAGAATTGGAGGTGACCAATAATTGGAAACAGTCTTTCGGCCCATGCAGCACAAACGGCCACTTAACGTATTTAAAAACCTGGTGGTGTTCCAAGTAACACCAAGCACCGTGCCACTTTTTTGTTCTTTTAATTAACAACAACAACCCAAAAAAAAAATAGTAATTGATGGAGAGGGACAGAATGAGAGCTTTAGGATCCTCCCAGCTCAATTTTTGCCTTTTTTTTTTTTTTTGCCTTTACCTTTCGGAAAAATAAAAGACTCAAATTTATGTTACCGTGGGGTGTTTTGGAAAGGAGAAGGGCCGTTGAGCTTCATGCCTGGAGTTCTAAAATGAACAGCATGTATCTTACAAACTGTGTGGGAGAAATGTGCTTTGCACGGCGCCTGGGCTGCTAAACATAACGCTAACACACTGGATCCCTGGATGAGATCCAGTTTTCAAAACAGGTCAGGCTTGAGAACAGAGCCATCTGTCCAGTGTAAAACTCAAAACCATCAGCGGAGAGAAAGTGTTAGTTGCCTGCAATCAATTTATGGATGCAGAGGCTGTGGTCTCTGCAGTGTTAACACACCAGTCCCTATGAAGGGTTGGGAATCTTTCTGCAAAAAAATGCCTTGGGAAGACCACACTTGAAACTCTACATCCAGTTTTTGGGTGGCCATGATGTAAAAAAAAAGAGGTTGAGACTCTAGCAAAGCGTGCAGAGAAGAGCAACAAAGACGATCAGGGGACTGGAGGCTAAAATATTGTAGGAATTGTCTAGTTTGATGAAAAGAAGGAGCAGGGGTGACAGGATAGCAGTCTTCCAATATCTGAGGGGCTGCCACAAATAAGAGGGAATCAAACTATTCTCCAAAGCACCTGAAGGCAGGACAAGAAGCAACGGATGGAAACTTTTCAAGGAGAGGACCAACCTAGAACTAAGGGGAAAACTTCCTGACAGTAAGAAAAGTTAATTAATGGAATGACTTCTCTCCAGAAATTGTGGGTGCTCCATCACGGGGGGGTTTTAAGGAGAGATTGCCTGAGCAGGAGGTTGGACTAGAAGACCTCCAAGGTCCCTTCCAACTCTGTTATTCTGATGCTTTCAGCGATACTACGTCAAGCCGGGCCAAGCAAAGCAGGTAGTCCTCGACTTCACGACCAAAATTGGAAAGATCTAATTGCCCCACCCGTTGAAAATAATTCGGCATTGAGTCCCGGTTCCATTTTTTTCTTTTACCCATGATGCAAATTGTCGAGTTGCTGCTGTCACTCACGGGTGTGTGTTGCTTTTGTAGCTACGTGGACGACGTGATCAACCGCATTGACCGAATGTTTGCCGAGATGTCTATCCAGCTGTCTCGGCCCAACGGGACTTCGGCCATGTTGTTGGTAAGTCAAAACTTTGTTGTTGTTATTGTTGTTTCTGCTGTTGTTGTTTATCAAGCTAAGAGGCCCACTGGTGTTATTGCAAGTATTCTTCAGAATGTGGGGGGGACACCCTCTCTGTTGCTGTGAAATGCAAATGCATCAGAATAATACATGGTATTGATCTAAACTGACAGATACTCATACTTTTATTTGTTTGCTTATTTGTTGAATTTATTGGCCAGCCATCTCAGGGTGGAGCTACTCTGGGTGGCTTACAACAATAGAATGGATGGGGGAAAAATATATAAAAATAACCATACAGATAGTCCTCAACTTACACAACTGAGCCCAACCCTCGTAAGTGTCAAACATGGTCCTAAGTCATTTTTTTTCAGTGCCGCTGCAGCTTTGAACGGTCACGAATAAAACTGTGGTAAGCGGAGGAGTGCCTAAAGGAAAGGAATGAAAGAATAAAAAAGAAGCAGGGTTTAATCAAAGAAAAATGCCTATTTATATCTGTTGATTTTCAACGCAAGGCAGTTTCCTGGAATGTTTGTAACGGGGCAGGAGATGTCTAGACTTTGCCTTGAACGCCCTTTTTTTTTTTTCAATAAACGTAAAAAAGCTGAAAACTTACAGTAATTCTCAGATTTCCCAAATCTCATTGATGCAAAGATTGCTCTTTGTGGCCAGTTTTGAAAATGAAACAGATTTTTTTTCCTCCTTTCTCAAGAAAACCATTGGCTGTCTCCTTCCTTCCTTCCTGCCTTCCTTCCTTCCTTCCTTCCTTCCTTCCTTCCTTCCTTCCTTCCTTCCTT